TGCGCCTCGGGGCCGTCCTCCCGCAGGTAATACACCAGCTTCAGGGCCCGCGCCCCGAGCAGCCGCCCGCCGTCCGTCTCCACGCCGCCCAGCGCGGCCCCCAGGAACTCGCTGCCGTTGACGGGGAAGCGGAGGCTGCCCGGGGCGGGCGGTCCCGCATCGCCCCGCCGCGACAGCAGCGGGTTGGGGCTGGCACAGCCGCCGGCGGTGCGGGCGCAGAGCCGCTCGTAGTCGGCGTCGCGCACGGCCGCGTTCAGCCGCAGCACCTCTGCCCACGCCGCCGGCTCCAGGACCGAGGTCCCGTTCGTCGCCACGGCGATGAGGGCGGCGTAGGCGCCCTCGGTGGGCAGCCGCGGGGCGGAGAAGCGCTCCGAGTCGTCGGTGGGGAAGTGCCGCCGCACGAAGTCGCGCTCGGCCTTGGCGGGCCCCCACGTCGGCGTGAACTGCTCCTCGATGTCGTTCGCCTGCCGCTGCGGTAAGAAGACGAAGCCGGCGCCCAGCACGCCGGACAGCAGCAGCGGCACCAGCACGAAGGGCCAGGGGCAGGCGGCCACGGCGCTCGCCAGCCCTTCGAAGAGCCGGCGCAGCGGCCGCTCCACGCAGTTGGTGTTGCGGCAGGAGCAGCGCTCCGCGGGGTCCCGCGGCCCCGCCATGGGCCAGGCGGGCACGGGCTGCCGGCCGCAGCGCCTCGCCGCGGGGGGGCCCGACGGTGCGGCCTGTGCCGCCGCCGGAGGAGAGGAGAGGAGAGGAGAGGAGAGAGAGGAGAGAAAGAGGGACAGGAGTTCAGAGCAGCCCTCCGCCCGTTGGGGCCGTGGAAGTAACGCGGAGCTTTCAGAGGTGGGCGCGGCCGGGGCCCTCCCTCGCCGTGACTCACGGGCTCTCCGGGACGGGCGGGAGGGCAGACCGGGCTCCCCTTGTGCGCTCCGCCGCAGCCTGCCCCGGCTCCGTGTGCTCCCGTTTCCTGGCCCCTCGTTTACCCTACCCCACAAAAAGTGACATTTTCTGTGTATAGTGAGCTGAACAAATTCACTGGGGAATGAGATGTGTGCTGGGCCTGTTATGAGGCGAAGAGTCAGGTACAGCAGGAAGAAAGAGCATCTGGAATCAAGACTGTGTCATGCACAGTTGTCTCATGTAAGCTCACATGTAGTGGACAACAGGGATTTCAAGTAAATTTGGGGCTAGTGCCTTGAACTTGGGGCTCTTGGGATCTAGTGCCTTGAACTCCCTTGTAGTAAACAAGATTTAATGTGATCTTTGGGTATATGAACAGACAACAAGCCTAGGGAAAGGACTTCCACAATATCTAATAAAATCAGTAAAGCAGTTGTTACAATATTAAATACAGAACTAGCTTCCATGTTGTAAGTAGGAGAGAGGAGAGTTAAAAGGCGAGTGGTGAGGTGTAGTGATCCTGAGCAGGAGACCATTGCCAGTTGAGGAGATGAAGATCATGTGGCAGTGAGCCTGTGCTGTGCTATATGCCCAGCGTGGCCCTTGCACCAGTGCCTGCAGGATAGCCTCAGCCAGCCCATGGTACCAGAGAAGCCTGCAATGCATCTCCCACTTGGTACCAGTGATCAGAAAAGTGAGACTTGAAACTTGTTTTCTTCAAATCTGCTGCAGCTGTTACTTCACCACTTAAGATTATTCTTCTGTCTGGGAGCAAAACACAGACAGTGGTGATGTGCATCTTGCAGTGTTTCCTCTTTCAGTGTACGTGTTTACAAAACAGGGCAGTGACAGCAGAAGAAATAAAAGACTTTGAAACAAGGGTTAGCGATTCCAGTTGGCAAGTCACAAGAATATCAGTGGAGTGATATGCCAGAGCTTTATGCAGTAGCAGTGATAGAAAGGGTCTTTCCAAGCCCAAAACCTATCCTGCAGCCTGGTGTTCTTGAACTGGTAAGTGACAGTGCTTTGAGTGGCTTCTGGCTGAGAACATTAAGCTCAGATGTGACAGTGCTAGTCAGGTGTCCAGATAATTAGCTAATACCTAACAGGCATGCACTTCTTCTCCTTGCCTTTGCAAGAAGCAACTATCTCGTCTTCTGCCAGTACTTGCAGAAAAGTTGTAGGTATTTCTTCTCCCCCATCTAGGGAAGACAGGCTTGACACCTGTGGGTATAAAAGAGCCAGCCAGGCTCCGAGCAAGATTATATATCTCCTGCTGCAATCAGCACCTAGAGCAGGTTGGATCCTGGTGATTTCCCTTTTCAGTGCACAGGTGTTCTGGGACAGGTATGTCAGCTCTGAATTTCTCTCTGGGAGACAGACACTTTTAAGCTATTTCCTGTAGCTCCTAACTTGTCAAAATCTAAGTAAGGAGAATTATCAAATTCTCAGGTGGCTTATTTCTGCCTTGCTTTTGTAATGCCAGAACAGAGGGACATTTCCTAATGCACCCAGGCCGCAATTGGAAAGTGCTTTGCCAGTTGTGTGAGACACACTGGACACTGGAATAATAAAAAAAAAATACTGCCATCAAGAAGACTTTTATCCCATTTCTCCCATCATAATGCAGCATCAAGCATGACTGTGCCATTTATGAAGGAAATTTCACTAGCCTGATTTTTACAGTGCACACCGTAGCACCTGACAAAGACAGAGAAGTTGTCTCCTATCCTATCCTATCCTATCCTATCCTATCCTATCCTATCCTATCCTATCCTATCCTATCCTATCCTATCCTATCCTATCCTATCCTATCCTANATCCTATCCTATCCTATCCTATCCTATCCTATCCTATCCTATCCTATCCTATCCTATCCTATCCTATCCTATCCTATCCTATCCTATCCTATCCTTTCCATGCATTTTGATGAGGCAGGAGTGCACTGAGGGCTGCTTAGCTACTGCCGTGTTTGCATGCATGGCTGAAACAATAGGACATTGTTACCTGTGCTAGGCAGTGACAGCCTGTGGCCCTGAGGTTGCCTGACCACAGATGATGTGGGAAATGCAGTGCCTCAAAGCCCTGTGTCCAAAGGGAGCAGTTTAATTGTCAAACTGGGGGCTGCCAGAGGGAGATGTGTGCCCTGTGTGCCTTCACCAACCAGCGTGCAAGAAAGGATCACATTTTCTTTGGCCTTCAGGAAAATGCCCGCAAGGAATGACCAGGGTGGCTGGGTGATGGTGACAGCAGAATGGGAGGTGAATTCTTGGTTTCCTCTAGGGTGGCTTGTCTCTCTAGAATATAAGATTCCAAAGAAACTCCAGAAATTATTCTGTCACCAGGACCCAGAAGTAACAGATGTTTATTCATGTTGAGAAGCCACTTTTCCTTTGTTTTGGGAGCACACAGTGACACTGTGGAATTACCACATGCTGGGTGGTGGCAGGATGAGTGGCTCCTCTGCTGCAGGATGAAATTGCATTCATTTGATTTTTCATTTTTGTTTTTGGGCAGAGTGAAGGTGCCTGAGTGTTTTAACTGTCTGGGTGATACTGTGGATAGAAACTGTTTCAATTGAACATTGTCATGATGAACAGAATTTCAGTTTATCAGTGTAGGATACCCGAAAGGCAAGGTATGTTGCCAGATTTTATTACTTTAATTCTGGGGAATACTTCTTTCCAAGCTGACTTAAAGAAAAATTCCTGTCTCCACAGTGATTTCTTAATCACGACTCTTTGGAAGAAGACTGCATAAAACCCTGGAAGGCAATGATATGATGTAATGTGAACATCATTCTACCAAAAACCTAATCAACATTTGTGCTTGTATATCCTTATAAAGGGTCCATAACATTTCACTTTCCTTAATATACATGAATGATTTCCCAACTTATATCCATGAGAACTGCAATTTTTTTGCCTCTTTGACCAGTTGTTTTTACTAGGGAGTATGCTATCTTTGTAGTCTGATTTTTTTTTTTGCATATATGTTTATGGATTTCATCATAAAATGGTCAGGTCTCAGAGATCTTCAGGAACTGTAAGCACATTATTTATGGAGAAAAACCACAGCATAAAACTACAGAGCCTCTCTTTCACTCCTGCTTTGATCAGGAAATGTCTGCTTGAAATTTTTTGATAGTAGCTTTTATTTTAAACACTACTGTATAATTTTGACTGTGTATATCAGAGAATACTGATACTGGACATTAACTATACTTTGATTTATTAGAGCTTAGAGACACTGTTACAAGTTCAGGAGGATTCCCATGCACAAAAAACTCGAGACACTCAGAGTTACAAAGGAAATTAATTTTATTAGTCATGTTAACAATTAATATATACCAACCCCTGGATTCTGGAAAAGCCACTGAGCCACACAAGGAGATGGAGCATGGCTTCTGAGAGGGAGAGCTAGGAAGGTAGCACACTTTCAGGGCATCCCCTAGATGAAAATGATGTGCATCATGTCATCCTCTCCCCTCCACTCCAGGACCACACCTTGTATCTCCTCCTCAGGAGCAGCCATTTTCAATATCATCACATGTGGGGCCAGCACATGAGATGAGGTCGTAACAGCCCATAACACTTCCATGCCAACAATGGTTTTATTGTGTATTATTCCCCTTTCACAGGATGAATCGCACCAGGTGTCCAATGCATAGTATAATTTCTGAAGGTTAGAGTCCTACCAACTAACAGTGTCTTCTTCTACATTATCTTGTCGACATGCACAACAGTGCACCAAATATGGCAGGTCTTAGACACATTTTGGTCCCTGACACAGGCACAGTAAAGATATCCCAGGGGCTAATGTGAGTACTTGTTCTGTTATCTGATGAGGGAATGGCCTTGCACATCCCTGCCCATTTAATTTACTGGAAGAAAATTTTATACTTCCTTGTCAGGGAAATTTTCTGGCAAACACACAACTAACATATCATTGACCTGCACCAATAGGATATTACAGAAGTTATCTCCGTAAGTTAATCTAGTCTCTCCTGGCATATGTTGATTTATTATGGGTGTGCATGTCAGGATAATATCTTCTTTGGTTGCTGGTGCAAACTTGCACATCTGCTTGTCTGGCTCTATGTGTGCCTGTGTATTTTTATCAATGTGTCATTTTAATTTTGTGAGCCAGAATGTTTGCAGAGGTGTCACTAACTGGGTGACTTGTTTTACATCCAATATAGAAGAACGCTCTAGGGAATTTCTGCTTTTTCTAGAATGCTGACATGTCAGATGGTGACTTCATGTCCTTAGAAAAAGATCTTTCTGATCCTTGGTTTTTGACAGGCACATCCAATGTTACTTCACAAAAATGAACCAGAGTGCATCCTGATCCCACCTTGGTCTTTCCCTGGTACCTTCACTTTTCTTCATCCTTGGAATATGGTCCAGGGAAATCACTACTGTTCAGTTAGCAATGCTCTCAGATTATTAATTGTAAAACACAAATGTAATGCTGGCTGCCTTCCATTCCATTTCCCTATCATGGGTAGGATTTACCCTCTAACTAAAAGAGTGGTTTTCCTTCCTTCCTTTCCCAGGACATTCCTCAAACAATCATTGTGTCCACTTGGAGTGGGAGTGCAGTGTCCACCTGCACTGATCCAACAGCCAGCTCTCTTCATTGCTTGTTGTGAATGAGAGTTTGAGATAGCTTGAAAAATAACTGGTAAGAGTATCAGAAAAAGCCAGATTTAATAATAAGCAACAGTGCAACAAAGTTCATTGGCAAGGCTCACTCTACTACTTAAAAG